CTCAAATACCTTTCCATTGTCTGAGACCAGTGATGATATTCATTTGCCACAAGTATCGGTGCTCTATTCGAACCGCCAACACTGTTTGATACATTAAGAGATAATGCATGTGCCATATTTCCTTGTTTTGAAAAGTTTTTTTTTTTAAGAAATGAGCTTTAGTGGTATAGAAGGCTTTTTGAAACACGGAGTTTTGCTTCAAAAGGCAACCACTTTGGCTCTGATACCAATTGTTGAGAGAAAAAACTTGGGACACACTTGAACAAACGTTAGAACAAGTATAGTTGCGGAATCGTTTATCTTAAGGATCTAAAAGCTCAACAATAATAATAATAAGTTAGAGTTAGATAATTAGAAAGTTAGGTGTGGAAATGTAAGGAAATATAAATAACATCAGGTATTATATCAAGTATACACATAAGTTGATTCTTAACAAGGAATGCATTTAGACCAAGTTAGTATGTGAGATCAAACTTAGTGATTAAGTCAAGAATGACTTGCTCCGTAAGGAGATAATGATAAGTTATATTGAAATTTGAGAGTAAGAAGGTGATGAGAGTAATAACACGAGATATGAGATTCAAGATGCGAAGTGTTATCTTAGATGTATATGAATAACAAGGATTGAGCTCTTATATATAGAGACTCGAATATTACATTAGTTCAACTATCTATGCGTAACCATGCAAGACATACTGGACAGAAGAGAATATTCTAATAAAGCAGATAAAGAGCTAAACTAGAAAACTAGATAGTGAACTGCGGATGATGAAGACTTCGGATGGAGTTGCGGAATGGAGTTGACTGCGGATCTAGGAGAGTTGCGGTAGACTAAGTTCAAGAGGGTCACTTATATGATTCAACACATTATTAGGCAAAAAATATTGTACGAACAATTTCAAGATTTGGTTTATGCACTTGTTGGAGTCAAAAAATCTTCATATAAGTTGAATATGTCATTATGTTACCAATATTCAGGGAGATCTAATATTGCACCACTTATAAATGATTCAACCATAGACATGTTGTATTATTTAGTAGAGACTGATGAAAATTATTGGGGTCAAGTTTGTGTTGAAATTGAGAAAATAGTGATACCTACAAATACTGGTTTGGTAGATTTCCTTTGTAATTTTGAAGTACCATTTCCTTTGCCGAGTGACGATAGATTTGAGCCAAATAATGAGTTTGGATTTGATGATCCCAACTCAGAATGCAGTAGTGAGTCATTAAGCCATATTGAGGAAGACTTTGATGATATGAGTGACAATCTAGTTGTAGAATTTATGAATGATGTTGGAAATATAGAAGATGATGTCATAGAAAATTTAGATAACAACGTTCATATAGATGTTTGGAAGGAAACAGAAAACAAAATTAGGTTAGGAATGCAATTTGAAAGCAAGCAGCAGGTGAAAATAGAGAGTTTAAAGTGTACGAACATAAACATAACAAATGGGTAGCAAAATGTAAGACTAAGGTGGGTGAAGGAGAAAGCTCTAGTTCTATGCACCATGCACAACCTTGTCAATGGAATATCTGTGCAATTAAGAAGAAAAATAATCATATGTGGCAGATTACACGTTGGGTGGATACACATAATTGTTTTGGATCTTGTATTGTGATACGAACCCATCCCATACTAGGCCCGTATCATGCCATAAGCCCAAGTGTAGAACTCACTCCCAAAAGCCAGCTTGTAGGAGGAGGGGACACCTACACTTATAAGCCACCAACTTATAGTACTTTCGGCCGATGTGGGGTTATAACAATACCCCATGCTTTGAAGAGCCAACATCCTTGTTGGTCACGGTTGGCACATCCTTTCGGTCCAAGCCACCACTCCGAGTCATTGTTGGTCACAGCTACGTTGGTCACGGTTGGCACCCCTATTTTTGAGTCCAAGCCACCACTCCATAGGCCACCACTCCAAGTGTTGGCACCTCAAAAGATGGGGACGACTCTGATACCAATTGATACGAACCCATCCCATACTAGGCCCGTATCATGCCATAAGCCCAAGTGTAGAACTCACTCCCAAAAGCCAGCTTCTAGGAGGAGGGGACACCTTGACTTGTAAGCCACCAACTTATAGTACTTTCGGCCGATGTGGGATCATAACATATTGACAATAATAACAGAAATCTAAACTCTAGAGTTATTGCCTCATACATTCTCCATTCAATTCAAAAAGATGTTTCTTACTCGGTGAAACATGTACAAGCAGATATAAAAGATCATTTTCATGTTGACGTTTCTTATTGGAAGGCATGGCATGGAAGAAGAAAATCCATAGAGACTATTTATGGAACTTGGGAGATTAACTTTGTTGAGTTGCCCAAGTATGTTGCAGCTTTGCAGGCTTCAAACCCTGATACAGTTGTTAAGTGGTTTCATAACCAAAATAGCTCATCACAAGTGGCAAAATTCAAATATATTTTTTGGGCATTTGGACTAGCTATTAAAGCATTTCATTTGTGTCGCACTGTAATTTCTATGGATGGTGCTCATTTGAAGGGTTCTTACAAAGGAAAATTGCTTGTTGTTGCTTTCAAAGATGCTAATAATAATATATTACCAATTGTTTATGCCATTGTTGATGAGGAGACAGTTCATAGTTGGTGTTGGTTTTTGGGTCATTTTAGAAATTTTGTTTCTCCAAATAGACGATTATGAGTTCTTTCTGATAGGCATAAAGGAATGGAAAGAGCCATTAGCATACCATCATTTTTGTCTGAGGCATGTCAGAAGTAATCTCATGAAAAGGTACAAGAATATGAGCCTTAAAAAAATTTGTTGGTCTATGGGTAACACCACACAAAAAGGAAGTTCGCTAAGTATATAAGGGAAATAAAAGAAATCAATATGGAAGCTTGGCAGTATTTGAGGGAAATTAAAAGAAGTTAATGGTGTCTTTTATATGATGAAAATCACCGATGGGGTTTCTTAACGACCAATATCTCTGAGAGTAAGAACAATGCATTATGAGGAGCGAGACAATTGCCAATTAGGGCGTGTATTGACCTTACATTCAATAGAATTTTGCAACTTTTCAGAAAGCATAGTGGTATTGCAATTAACTGTATTACATTTCTACCAAAAATGTATGTGGCGTCTCTTTCTTAAACGTGATACTGGTGCACAAAGTCATGTTTTTATCTGAGTTTCACTACATGAAGGTGTTTACAGAATTGTCACAAGGTCACAAATAAATGGAACCAAAGGAAATACACAAACTGTTAACTATTTTCACATATGTGTACTTGTGGTAAGTGGCAAATGGAGAGATTTCCATGTTCACACTTGCAGTTTGTCAGAATAGAGGGGACAACCCTCTTTCCATTGTGAACAATGTGTACACTACTATGACATACGTTTAACAATATAATTTTGGGTTTGTACTACTTCCTCATGCTGATTATTGGTTGGATTCAAACTGTACGATTGAAGCAGATTACTCAAAACTTTCTATTCATCGAGGACGAAGACGTACAAATCGAATTCGTAATGAGATGGACATTCGTCATCCTGATGAACCTCATAGATGTACACTATGCCACCAGCCAGGTCATAATATAAGAAATTGTTCAAATTCTCAACCAAGATTCAATGAGTAGTAAACTATGTTTTTGTTTAATTGTGTTGTAATTTCATGTTTAGTTGATCTTATATTTCTTGTGTGATTTTGTATTATGATTTTTAAATTTTAGTAATGTAATATTAATTATGTGTTTTCTTATTTCTTATTGTTACAATATGAAATATTAGTATTAATGGACATATATAAATGAGATATATTTGATATTGAAAACTAATAATCGTTAGTTATAAATTAAATAATATATTTACACTAAATATTATTAAATTAAGTAAATGTACAAAATACAAATAAAAAATATAATAAGATGTAGTAATAACATATTTCATAAAATAATGGTCAATGTTGAATATTTTTATGGACTATTTTGTATATTTAATATTTACGTAAATATAATAAAATGGAGTAAAAATGTAGCAAAATATATATAAAAGTGTAAGATTTTAACATATTATAAAAAAAACTAAGAACTCTTGTTGTAAGTTGTGAGAGATCCTTTATTTCACTATCTATTTACTTATTGATTTAGTGGGCCAGGAGCCCCATTTCTACAAAGACATTCAAAACAGATCCATTTCTACAAACCTTTTTGAAAACTGCCCGGTTTTTGCAAATAGCTTGGGAGACGGATATTGCCGGAATTAACTCCATCTAGGCAGCGGATAGTGGTGGTGGTTTGGAAGACATGGAGGTCGGTGGAGAAATATTTACAAATATGATAAGAACAAATAAACATACATTACATCCTTAAGAAAAATAGAAAACATGTAAAAGTTTGAGTTGCACGAGCCATACTTGGGGAGTTAGATCACACAAACAGAGTCTACGTAATAAGAACATATGTCTATATGGACACGTCTTATTTTTGGGGGAAAATAGATATTATATGATATTCTTTTTAGATGGACACACGTTATTGCTGGTTTGCAACATTTTGACAAAAATAATGGTGGAAATAAAAAATCATACAATATATCTAAATTCTAATGACTTATATATTAGTTGATTTTGTCGCACTGCCACATTCACCGAAGAGAGTTCATATAATGGTTTTAACAAATCATAAATTATATTTGCTTGTTTGTAGTAACATATACAATTAAATAACATCATAAATGAACAAAAATCATATATGACCAACTTCGAAGAAGATACAAATGAAATGTGACGGAAGGATCTCCTTCGTCATTACAACAAAATCCAAATGACGTCTACATCAAATCACGAAATATCTAATAAACACGTTACACATTTCATGGTGCAAAATGCTTCCGACTGGCTAGTGGCAAATGGCGATAATGAGGACTTTTCAAAGTCATATTAAAGTATTAAACAATTCCTTCAGGCTTCAAGTGTATAAACCGATCTACTTCTATAATTTATAAAAGAGTAATAATAAGAGATGACCTCACTCAACAAGCAAGTAAACCTATCAACGACCATGCTCACCTTCACTTTACCACTCTTTTCTTTCCTCGTCCTCTTCTCCACCACCGCCGCCCAACCATACAAACCCACCGACTACTTCCTCCTTAACTGTGGTGGTGCAACCGCAACATCCGAACGGAAATGGGACACCGATGAACTTTCCAAATTTGTCCCCTCCTCCACCACCACCACCTCCTTCACCTCCACCCCGAACAACCGCGACCCTTCCGTCCCGGAAATCCCATACTCCACCGCCCGAATCTTCAACACTTCATCATTTACCTACACTTTTCCGGTGACTGACGGACCTAAATACGTCCGCCTCTATTTCTACCCCGCCACCTACTCCAACCACAATGCAAACCAATCTTTCTTTTCGGTATCATCCAACGGTTACTCTCTCTTATCTAACTTCAGCGCTTTCCTCACCGCATCCTATGTAGGAACTAGCCTCGGTGGCAGTCCCCCAGTTCCCCACTTTATCAAAGAATTCATTATCTATGTAAACGATACTCAATCCTTAAATGTCACTTTTACCCCCTCTCCCAACTCCTACGCCTTCATTAACGGTATCGAAATCGTTTCATTGCCAGAAAACTTATATCATAAATCAAAGAGTTTGAAATACATCGGTCAACATTCTGGACTCGTGATCGCAGAGAACACGGGTCTCGAGAACATCTACCGGTTAAACGTTGGTGGGGGACAGATTGCTCCAACCGCTGATACTGGAATGTATCGATCATGGGATCAAGATGATCGATATGTGTTCCCGGTATCAGCTATCGGGTTAACGCCAGTTAACCAGACTCCGATCGTCTACACTGCCGACACACCGAGTTACACAGCACCTGAGTTGGTTTACGCTACACAAAGGAGCATGGGAAATTTGTCTCGACATTACAATCTGACGTGGCTACTTCCGGTGGATTCCGGGTTTTATTACAAGCTTAGGCTCCATTTTTGTAATATTATACCGCAATATACGAAACAGGGTGAGGTGGTATTTACGATTTTTATTAATAATCAAACGGCTGAAGATCAAGCTGATGTGTTTTACTGGAGTGGAGGTACTGGGCTTCCTGTGTTTAAGGATTATGTCGTATTTGTGTATGATTTTGATGGTAGTGGAAGAAAACAAGACTTATGGCTCGCGATGGGTCCTAACAGTAAAGCTGCGGACGTATACGGTGATGCTTTTTTGAACGGTTTAGAAGTTTTCAAGATTAGTATGGCGGGTAATCTTGCTGGCCCAAACCCGGAGCTCAGCCCTACACCACCACCACCACCGCCACCTTCCATAAAAGAGAACAAGAAAACTCTGCCATATGCCGCCATCTTTGGCGGCACTGGTAGTGCGTTACTCTTGTTCTCTGCTTTAGGTTTTATAGTTTTCCGGCAAAGACGGGTGAAACACAGTGGTGCGACCAATGAGAAGCCATATTCCAGTGAACAAAAGTCTAAAGATTCCGGCCTTCCATCCGATAGGTGTCGCCGGTTTACAATCAAGGAAGTGAAAGATGCGACTGGAGAATTTGATGAAAATTGTATTATTGGGAAAGGAGGCTTTGGTATGGTGTACAAAGGATACATCGACAATTCTACCACCATAGTTGCAATCAAAAGGCTCAATGCGACATCAAAACAAGGTTATCATGAGTTCAAAACCGAAATCAGTTTTCTATCAAAACTACGCCATGTCCAATTAGTTTCATTAATCGGATACTGTGATGACGAGGGCGAAATGGTACTTGTATATGATTACATGTCTCATGGGACATTACAGGATCATTTATACAAAAGAAACAACCCTCATTTTCCATGGAAACGACGTTTAGAAATTTGCATTGGTGCAGCAAGAGGCTTACATTATCTTCACACAGGAGCAAATCGTGTGATTATTCATCGCGATGTGAAGTCGACTAATATTTTGCTCGATGAGAATTGGGTTGCGAAAGTGGCAGATTTTGGTTTGTCAAAGTTAGGACCAAAAGAGAAAGGGGTAGATCATGTTAGTACAGCTGTGAAAGGGACATTAGGGTATATGGATCCTGAATATTACCGAATGCAACAACTTACAGAGAAATCTGATGTTTATTCATTTGGGGTTGTTTTGTTTGAAGTGTTGTGTGCTAGACCGGTGATCATAAACAGGGGTTTGCCGGATGATGAGGTGAATTTGGCGGAATGGGGTAGGGTAAACTATCAAAAGGGGACGTTGAATGAGATAGTTGATAAGAGAATAAGTGATGAGATTGCTCCTAATTGTTTGTTGAAGTTTGGTGAGGTGGCAAATAGATGTATAAGAATCAAAGGAAGTAAACGTCCAAAAATGGATGAAGTTGTGTGGGGGTTAGAGTTTGCGTTGCAATTACAAGAATCTGCGGAGAAGACAGGTGGCGTTGCAGGTGAGTTGACAGGCGGCGTGTGGGGGAGTGCTCAAGAATTTTTGTATCCCATGCAAGGAGAGACGTCTATAACTGAGGCGTCAACCGGAGCAGCCATACGACACGATATGTCATCGACTGACAGCAGTCGTGGCGGGTTTGAGTCGGACACGTGTTTCACGCAGACGAGTGATGTTTCAAAAGAGACTTCTACTGAAGGTAGATGATTGGGTGGTAGAGTATATATATTTTGTTTTGGTTCTGATAAGTTGTTGATCGATTTAATGTTAGGGTATGATTGAGTGATTTGATTATATGTCACTTTGGATGAATCCTGAAATGTACAAATTCATGGTCAATGGTTGTAATGGAATGAAAAGAGGTGAAAAACTTTGCATATAACTCCTGATTCGATTGCATCGAATGTTGGGATGGAAATATGAAAGCGAATAAGAGAGGTTAAAAAGGAAATACTTTTTAAGTATAAAATGTTATATTCCTATCTTAATTTTCTAAGTTGGTAGGCTCTTACATTCTAGAAAGTGAAATGAAATGTGAAAGACAAGACCAGACCAGAAAATGAAACGTGAAAGGCAAGGTTGAAAATTAGGCAATTGTGATGGCCACACACTAGATAGTGTAGCACCCATGCATCATCGATAAAAATAAATAAATAAATAATTAAAGAGAGTTAAAATGTACGTATGAGTATTTAGTAATTTCGTTGAGAATCTTAGAAAACAGTAAAAGGTAAAGTGTGTTAGAAAATTATGGACCATTCTATAAATGAACATATATATTGTTATCATTTAAATCCAAAATATTATGGCAAGTGTATAAGATTGTTGATGGACCGATATTCACTTACCATTTGTGGCTTGAGTTCCCGGTTTGATTCAAGATCCTCAAGATCCCTTCCATCTCTCATATTATGGTTTATCTCCATCTATAAATATATGTGATGAGTAGCAAATCAGAGAGGACGAAATTACTTCACAAAATTCGTTTTTTTGATTGCTAAGGGGTCTTGGAGTTGTCTTGAGATCAACTGGAAAACCAAGCTTGTTCTTCAGATCCAAAAGCTTCAATGGAAGCAGATACACAATCTCCTTCTCTTATTATTCTTTTATTTAGATTCAAGTTTGAAGGTCTGGCCTTAAAAAAGCTTCCGCATTCATAGATTAAGTTATTAAAATTTTTGAAACAGGAACTGCAACGTTTTTTGAGGATGTTGAGTTTGGGAAGAGAAATAAGGTTAGAGACATTGTCTTTGAGGAGGAATCAATATGCGACAATTATTTTTTCCGCATTCATAGATTAAGTTATTAAAATTATCAACAAAGTGAACAAAGAGATTTAGCAAATTTATCTCATATCGGATACTACATAGCATTCTAGGGAAGTCAAAAGAAAGAAAATAACTTTGAGAACCGTAGCTCATCAAAGAGCTCCTATTGGCAACAATTATATGACACAAAACATCAAAAATCCAATGTTTTAAAAACCGGTCTTTTAGTTACACCAGTATGATGATCGATTTTCGGTTCAACCGATTTAATCGGTTCAACCGCCGAGTAAATTAGTTTCTATAATTCTCATTTTTTTTTCGTATTTTACTACACGTACATACATACATAAATTAAGAATTTGATGTCCACAAGTTCAAACATTGAAAATATAAATGAAAACAAATTGTAGATCAATCTAAATACATTAAAAATAATACATAATCATTAGTTTTACATCAATCCACGTGCATTAAAAATAAAATAAAGTTGTAGGTGAATATGAACGTATCAAAAAACTTCATAACATTTATCATGTGCTCTTATTAAAAAAATCTTAATAGATGCAAAAAAACCACCAAAGTTTTTTGTACAAAATGTTTCAATACCATGTGTTTTTATTCAATTTAACCGGTTCAACCGGATTTTTGTAAAAACCGACCGGTTTGTTCCGGTTCAGAAATAGACATAAAACTAGTGATAGTTGAACCGCTCACTTCCTCGATTCTTGGTCCAACTGGTTCAACCGACCGGTTCAAACCTGTTTTTAAATCATTGCAAAAACCTACAGATTTCAACATATGAAATATGCAAAACAATAATTATCAAAGAGATAATATCAAAAAAGAGTAACACAAAAACACACAAATATGAAACAAAATAATTATATCAATCTTGAACCAGTATTTTACTCTACCTTAAGTAATTGATTACTGCAAAATTGGGGAAGGAAGATTAATGTGGTTTGAACACGTCTAAAGGAGGCAACAAACAACTGCGGTTAGGAGGATAGAGACAATCAAGCTTGATGGTGTGAGGACAAAATGAGAAGATAGCATAAGGTTAGACATGACGTTGGTTCTTTATTAGAACACGACCTTAGATAGGAGGTCGTGAATTGAAGTGGTGTATGTCCTAGTTTCTTTTCTTATGTCTATGCTTTATGTACAATATTTATCTTCTTAATTACATTTGTCGCATTTTCACTCTAACCCTACGTATTACCTCCCCCTACTCGGATTACGGTAGTGTTGTTGATATTTTTCTTGTAGTACTTCTTATATAGATTCGCCTGAAAGAAGCAGTCTATTTATTATTATAATATTATTATTATACTTTAAATCACGAATCTATTTTGGAACTTATAAAAGTTCTGAAAATGGCATTTTTAAGACGTTTGAGAAAACATTTTCTTAGGAGGTTTGTTTCGTAAAATGTTTTTGGAATGAATTGAATTCGTCAAAGGAATTAAAATTTGAAGGAATTAGGATCTATTATGAGCTTAGTTGACATGGAATGGAATCTGTTTTTTTTTCTTTTTTTTTTTTCGATTTGTAGATTTGTCAAAGGAATTGAAATATAAATGATGTAATATGACTAAAATACATTTTTATCGAGTTTTTGTAGGTTAATATTATTTTTAATAAAAATGATAAAATTTTCATTAATTAAATTTTTGCTCAGTCAAAACCTATGTTGTCTTGTACAAGTGTGTATGGGTGTGAGTATATTGGGTGGGGTGGGGTGTGTGTCAGGATATGTGGATATATGGGTGGTGTGGGATGAATGTTTGTGTAGGTTTGTTGGCGTAGGCATGATGGTGTGGGTATGGGTATGGGTGTTGATGTGGGTATAGGTCTAGGTGCGGGTGCAGGTTCGGGGTGAGTGTGGAGGAGGTGTATAGGTATGGGTGTGGTGGGATAGGGGTGAATATTGGGACAGGGTGTGGGTTTGGGTTGGGGTGGTTTGGGTGTAGGCATATAAGTATAGGAGTGGTGGTGGTTGGCGTTTGGGCGTAGGTAAGGAGGCGAGTTTATGGACGGGTGGGGTATGAAAATGATGATGATAATATGTTTTTATTTAATAAATAATGACTAAAATAAAAATGATGGATGAGGTATTTGTGTATTTATAATAAAATATAATATATGAAATCTAAAATCTTTATCATTAGCCAAAAAATTGTTAATACCTTCACATAAGGAATTTAATGAAATTTGAAAAATTCATTTTTTTTATTTTGTCAATAAAACATAATCTTTACTAGGATTTACATTTGAATTCCTATTATCCTATATGTTCCTTTGAAATCCGTGAACCAAAAATTCATTAATATATGATATGATGGAACTTTCTGATTTTATAGAAAAATTTATTTCCCATTTAATGTATAAAATAGCATACTAGCATTACCTATAAACTATAAAGAAATCTATATCCGTTCAACCTACACTTACAAAATTCCATAAATATTGTCCAAGTTGGTAGGTCCATACATAGCATACATGTACCGTAAGAGAAAGAGAGGGTTTGAAAATTGGGCAACTAAACTGGAATTATCTATGGAAGAAATGACAAATTTGCTCAAATAATAGGTAATGACTAGTGGTCATTCTTTAAGCAATTCAAGGCATAATATGTTTTTTTATTATAGTAGCAATAATCCCAGTTTGATTATCAAATCCAAAAGTAAAATGTTGTATATAGCATAGATTAGGGTCTTGTTATGACCAATTAAACTAGGTATATACAGTTGTTTCTTTATTCATTTTATGTATTATATTCTATCATTTATTTATTCATTCTGTAATTATAGAAAGAATTTTGTGATGCCAAAACATCAAACACCTATAATGCATACAGACTATCGAACATGTATTATTTATTGACAAATGAGTAACATAAGACTAAATAATATTAAAACATACAGGAAAGTCATCATTTAAACTATTGTGATGCATAGTGATACCAAAATTCATGACTATATAATTCAATAGAACATATGTTAATAAACACGATTAATCACGGGCTTACCTTTGAGAGACAATTTTTGACCGAGAAGTTAGTTGAACTGAACTTCTTCGTCGACATCATTGACTAAGAGCAACGACAGGCCGGGTTTCAGTTTTAGGAGTTACCTTTTGTTTTTCTTCCTTTTTTCATCCGCAATATCTAACACGGATTTCTTTTTGCAATATCAATATTAGCAGTCTTATATTTTTATATTTAGAAAGTGTATATCCCGATCATGTGTTCCAATTATCCGTGTAAATCATATCACGCAATTATCGGAATCTTACTGTAATCTTTATTTGTAGTCGTTTGATGAAAACATCATATTAAGGGTGTGTTCGGCAAAACTAACTGTTAATGGGTAGCGGGTAGCCGGTAACGGGTAGCAGGTAACAGGTAGTGTTTTGTTAAACGCTACATTAGATAGCGTTTAAATTTGACGCATTTTGTTAAAACTAAATGCTAAAAGCATGTAGTGTCAAACAGTGTTTTTTATTTAAAACGGAACGTTTTGTCAAACACTAAAAGCTAGAAGCTTCTAAACGCATTGTGCTAATCAATTCAGTAGAGCGTTTGTCTACCTTCCGTTCAAACTGTGGTAGCATATTACGACTATAAATAAGGATTATTTCGGAAAACCCTATGGAATAGAGCATCAGCTTACACGTTCTCTTTTCTTAGTATAGCAAAGTACGGCATAGACCCTCTTCCATGTCAATAGATTATTGGTCTCTTAGACCTTTTTAGATGAGTTCCCAATACCCGTAATTGACGAATTCTTGGGTGAGTTGCACTGGGTAGCCATGTTTATCAAGTTGGAGATCAAATCAAGGTAGCATATATTTTTATAAGGGTAAACAGAGCCGACTTTGAGGCTGGGTAGACGGGCGGTAGTACCACCGTAGGGACAATCTGTTGGCAAAGGGGTA